ATTGTATGAACTATATAAAAAATATTATTTTGACATTCTTTAGTATCTCCAAAGCACGTAATCTAGGTAATGTTAATTAGCTTAATGGTTGCAAGAAACAAATTGTATGAACTATATAAAAAATATTATTTTGACATTCTTTAGTATCTCCAAAGCACGTTATGCATCCAATACCATCTTTCAAGTCTCAACATTTCAGATACTGCAAGAATAAGGTACATGACAGAATGTTATACTAATAGTACCATATTTCACATCATGTTCAATAGAAAATCTGAATATATGAATACTAATACATGACAAGTATTGTAAGTATTTCTATTCCAAGGAATTTCCCAAGAAGCTTACACATCATGACATCTTTGATGCTTTTTGTTAGTTGAGTACACTTGATTGGAAGTCATTATTGAACATATATGAAACAGAAATCTAAACATGGCATAGTATTCTCTAGGATTTGATGAAACAAGAAACAATAAGTTTTTCATCCTTAACAGTTGTATGATTACTATGCCATTTCTATACGTTTATAGTTCAATGTCATAGCAGTAATACACAAAAGTCCATGGCAAATAATAACAACTGTAATATAGGTATATTTTTCTTTAAAGATCACTTTGTGACATATAGTAAGAATTTTGTGATATATTTCTCTTAAAATGCTTAAGTACCATACTGAATAACTTTGTAAAGCTTCTTTTATAATTCTCTAGAATATTTTACAATACAGAACAGTAACAGAAATAAGACTAAATGGACTGTTACTTCCAGGACTACTGTTATGATCCCCTTTAAAAATAGGAATAACACTTGCTACTCTCTAATCCTCAGGCATGTATTTTTTCACTGTGTACTGACCAACCAAGAATGAAAAAAAGAGCTTGCACATTTGATCTTTGACCTCCTTTAAATCTTGCCTGGTCCTGGTGCTTTATTTTTTATTGTCCCAATATTTCTACTTTTCACCAATTTAAGTCAATTTAATATTTCCCATAGAATACTCATGGCCAGTAATATTGCTAATGTCTTCTCTTGTAAAAACAAAAATCATTTAAAAGCTGTCATCTCAAAGTCTTCAACAAAAAACCTTACCTTCAGAGCATAAATCTCCATTTTAACATTTTCTTTGCACATGTTTAAAAAAATCCTTGCTTTGGTTTTATCTATTAACTGCTTCTCATAAGCTCTTTGGATATCCTAATTTTACTAATACTTACAATAAACTACTTTTAACATACAAAATGTAATGATTATTCCTGTTGAGGAACAATAGTTGTACACATTTTCTGCAAATATTTCATTTGTACCATTAAAACCTGTTAAGGAGAAACACAAAGTATCAAAATATTAAACTTATTTTTTTAATTACAAAAATGATATATTTAACTTTATACTACTAATTACTATGATCTAAAGATATTCCAGTAGGGAGTCCCAGAGAATTATAGTATCCTGCCATGAAGGCGTATGAATGCGAAATCGCAGTTGTGAATACATAAATTTTACATAAATAAACTATTAATTATTGTACTCCAAACAATAAATGGAAAATGTCTACAGCACTAATATATGCTAAATTTATATGATTTATTTCAAGGTAACCATACTCCCACTAATATGAAATTGGCTTTAAAAACACAGTGAAGATTTCTAAAGCTGTCATCCACCATTTGTCAGTAACCAGTGAGCAAATGATAAAACTGAAACCAGGGTGTTGGTTCAAATTGACTAGACCAATAAGGACCGGTGATACATCAAACGATAGCTCTCTTTATGCTCTACTTTGGTCTGGCCAATTTTATTGGATCCAGAAGCATTTACTTTTTGAAAACATGCAAATAAAACTTTAAAATCATTCAAAATTTTTTTTAGTCACTGAATTGATAGAAACAAGGGTACATAATAAACTTGGTGTTGTGGACTACATACGGCATAAGCTGATACATAGACATGTCTGCCGAAAGCAAACAGACAGCATGTAAAAAAATGATAAATGGGGATTGTAAACAGCCTATGTGTTGCCCTGGCAACATGTTGCTTTATGTCATATGATCTGTCACAAGCAGACTATGTTGTTTTGACAACAGTTTGATATAAATCATATCATTCGGTGTGACTATGAACAATGTATCAATTACATCATGACATGATGTAGAATGAGTAGATATTACTACTGATCATCATCATCATCATAGACAGCAGTACATCGATAATTCTACCGATGCTTAGCTGCCACACAATCTACTGATACATACCTGTCAATCACGGTATTTCTAGTTTACAACCAATGTCATTACAAAATATCACATATTCTTTCATAGATACATAGGTCAGCTCATACTTCATTATTAACACTTAGTTATTGACAATTTTCTTTTTATTTATCCATATAATATGAATACACGTGTACGAGTCTGAAATGGATGGACTTTAATGGGACTACATTTTATCTTGCCTTGACATGGATGTCATGCAATATTAGGTTACCAAGTAAAGCGATAAATCAATGACATTTTGTTAACACTGTTCCAATTAGAAGGTAGCATCGATTTTTAATTGTTTTTCATTAACTAAAAACTAAGTAACTGAACTTGCAGTATAAATCTACTAATTTGTGACTGTAGAATCCATTAATTAAATGTCAGTGAAACCCCCTAATTACAGTAAAACCATATTAGTTGAAACTGTTTGTATGAAAGCTTAAACTGATTCTCTAGTGTTCCTTTTGTTCTTCCATAAGCATGGTGGACATTTACAAAATGTGAATAACATTAACAGTACATAGGTCACCAACTGTTAGAATGTGCTATGGAAAACAGATTATGTGAGTTCCATCATTTAGCAACAAAAACTGTTATTAACTTAACACAATATTTTGGGACAACATGGGATCTATTGGTCCATCTCAGCTGTTCCATCCTCAAACCTACATTAAAAATAATTAAAAAAAATAAAATATTTTTTTTAACCCAGCCCTTATCATTCATATACTTATCAAGCTTTTTCTTACACTCACTTAAATTTACTGTCTCTGCAACATCTGAAGGCAACCCATTCT